GGAAACTGATGCACTTCATATTCTGAAACAGAGGGAGTACTCATGAAACAATTGTTTTTTCATCCAAGAACAAACATTGGGATTGGTTTGAAGGCAGCCTCACAAGTGTTGGAACCGCAGCCCTTTTTCACTCTCGGCTAGAGGTAGAAGAAGACACAAGACATAAAAAATTTCGAGCCGGCGCACGAACGCCACCACGGACGCACGAACGCTTCGATCCTTTTCTTTTTACAGTGGCTACATTGCTACACTCGGCTCCACACCATCTTCACAGTGACTAACAGCTGCTTAAATAACACACGGCCACACACATCAGAGCCACCCACACACTAACCAACTAGAACGCCACACGGGCCACTAACCCACGGCCTGGCTAACAAACTATGCATGCACACAACTAATTCTATGCATGTGCACATCACACGCAAAGCTAGCTACCACGCAACCGCGCCACACTGTGATCCGTATAGCCCGGCCGTGTGTATGGCACGCACTCGTACGCGCTCAACACAGCCGGACCAACTGATCCATATGCCTACGCCTTGCATAGACTGCATATGTCGCACCCGACGCCGGTCGTCATCGCTGGAGCATGGCTTATTGCCAACACTCACTCCCTAAGCCATGACCTTGTCGTCGCTGAAGTTATTGCAACTCCTGTCGTTGTCGTCGTCACGAGCGTGGCCCAGCCCACGGATCCGATCTGGCGCAACGACGCCGGTCGCACCACCACAGACGACTCCGGCGACACACGTCTGGCGTCCCTCTGCGCCCCGCACGTCCCGCGCGCATCTGACGTACCCGACGCCCCAGTACGTCCCGCACGTCCCGCGCGCACCTGACGCGCCCGACGAGCCCGACCACACCAGTGCGTCCCGCCCGTCCCGCGCGCATCCGACGTGCCCGACGAGCCCGGCCGCACCAGACGCTCACCGCGTGCCGCCTCCACGTCCGCCATGGCAGCCACCAGCGACAAACGCCGGAAGGATGTAGCTGAACTCGAGCACGAACTCGAGCACAACGGCGACATACGCCTCCTCCCAACGTCAACCGCACGCTCGTACGCGCGCGCGCGGTCCCGACGCGCACGGCGCGTCCAGTGTGCACCCATAACACGCACCGGTCGCGCCCTACTCGTCGCCGCGGCTTATTGCCCTGCACCGCCGCGGCCTCCATGCCGCCATGTAGTGCCTCCACGCCGCCACGCCGTGTTGCGCCGCCGCGCCACCACATAGCGCCTCGGCGGCCTCCGCGGTCGCCGCACGTACGACGTCACCGCCCGCCGCCTCCGCCACGCGCCATGACAGCCACCGCACCGCCCACCTCCATGGGCCGACACACGGCCCGAAGCTCCGTTGCGCAGCTGCCGGCGAGCGCCGCCATCGCTGCCACGCCTCCGGCACGGCAAGCACGCCCAAGACACCAAGCTCATGATACCAAATGTTGGAACCGCATCCCTCTCTCACTCTCGGCTAGAGGTAGAAGAAGACACAAGACATAAGAAATTCCGGGCCGGCGCACGAACGCCCCAATCCTTTTCTTTTGTCTTGTGTCTTCTTCTACCTCTAGCCAAGAGTGAGAGAGGTCTGCGGTTCCAACAACAAGGCATACTTGACAATTTTCCCCGGTCCTTGTCCAACAATATGCTTATTTGAAGGGCTTGCAGGAAATCATCCATTTGTGCAACCCACGACTCCATAAGCACCAGAGCTCCTTCATAATGATCGAATGCTTCGCATGAAAACAAATAATATTAAAAAAATTGTAAGGTCCACAAAGCGCCGACTTGGAAATATTCATGTCCGAGAGCATACGTCATAGTAGATGTCGACAGTGAAGGAGCTACGGAGGAAGAGCTGAGGGGGCGAATGACAAAATATAATTTTCTGGAGGGGCCAAAAACTGCATTTCTCTGAATTTTGCCGCTCAAAATATAG